GCATTGGACGAAATGACGATTAGATGTTTTGAATATTTGATCAATTGACGATTCGAGGTTGTTAGCATTTTTTAAAAAAGATATTTTATTTAAATAAATTGTATTTTACTACATTTAGATTTGACAGACATTTGTTAAATTACAATTTATACAAATTAAAAATTATAACACTTTAAAATTAGGTTATTATAAAATTATAAAAAATAAACTTTGGCTTATACAACTATTTTATCAGTTGAAAGTTTGCGTGAAAAAATTTTATAATTGCTTATGATTATAGAAAATGCGAATTGGATATTTTGATTATTGGCTTAAAAATAAATTATAGAATAAACTCATTTTATTAATTAGACTTTTATATAAAATCACATTATATTCAATGTTCTTTAGATCATTTGAATATTTATAACCTTTAAATTAGATCAAATGACTATTAGAGCATTTGCATAAACGGGGATAAACAGGCGTCTCTATTTAAAATTTTAATCAATTTTAAATATCCCGCCAGAAATCTGATTTTCCGAAAGCGAAAAATGAGGTGTGAACGGTCAAATGTTTCTGCATGCATGCATCATGCAGATGCATTAGATCGTGTGACTGTACCCTAAGAGAAGTCCGGGAACTAATACGTCCCGTGCGAGGCTTGAGTGATAATTGTGAATGTCCTTATGTGAACCCTCGATCGGGACGTCTCAAGCCCCGATAAAAAACGTGGTACGTCCCGAAGCGGGATTACTTACAACTTTTAGTTTCGGCCACGAGTTGTTCTATCACATGCGGGAACAATGTTTGACGGACTCGGGGCGTCTGAGCCCTAGATTCGAAACATCTCAAACGCAACAAGAACAGTAGCTTATAGCGACGTCTAGCGGGAACTATTACGCCCTGGACTTCTCTCAGTCTACTTCGTTCCTAATATTAACATTACTTTTCCTCCCTCATAGGGAGGGAATGTTACATTCCCTCCTGGTGACGTCACTAGCCGGGAGGGAATGTACATTCCCTCCCGCTCGCAGGGAATCATACACTTTTCTCCCGCTTGACACGTAGGAAATGGTGTACTTTCGGTGCGTGTGTTAGAAAAAAAACTAATCAATTTTTAAATGGCCAATAAGCAAAAAAAACTTAAAAAGACTTATACTTGTAGTTATTATAAAATATTAAATTGGTGCATTTAAATAACATAATTCTGGATGAACGTTATGAAAATTATTCAAAATAATTGATTTAGAAAAGAATTTGAATTAAAAATTATGGACATTAATTAAATTTTTGTAGAGTAATAATAGCAATTTTAAGGAATAATTTCAAAATTCTGAATAATTTGGTTTTTCGAATGATTTTCGAATAATTTAAATTTCGTAAAATAAAATTAAAAACAATTGCATTTTAAACTTTCTATTATTTAAAGTGAACTTTTTTCAATAATTAAATTTTTCAAAACTTTCTCAAAATTATTAAAAATAATTGATTTAAAAAAGAATTTTAGTTTCAAATCTAGAAAATAACTGAATTTTGGAGATGTCAGATGAGAGTAGTAAATTTTATAAGTACATAATTAAATTGAGGGTTTACGTGCAATAACGGGACGCGCAGGCTATTCGTTGTCCTCTCGCGCAGCCGCAGAATCGCTATACGCGGGGACTTTCACTTCCATGCGTATCCCCTTATTGCACGTGAACCCTCAATTTCAGAATTTTTTTCAGAAGTAATGAAATTGCAAAATGTTCTTTGTAATAAATTGAAATTCTTATAAATGTTTACTCCTGTGGAAAAATATACTACTGAAAGTATTTAGGGACCATCCATAAACCACGTAGCCTGCTTTGGGGGGGGAGGGGGTTCGGTAATGTGCTACGTTAGACCACATGGAGGGAGGGAGGGTTTTGAGTCTGACCAACGTAGCTTTGTATTTTTATTTGACATACATTTTTTTGAAATTACGCGGGCAGCTCGAAAGTCAATTCGAGAGATATATGTGGACGTCCACATGAAAAGGGCCCATTTTGGCACTATTGGAGTTATCTATATGGGCGTATTCCTGGCAAAATTTGGAAAATTTTGAGTGGTCTTAGAACTTTTTTGGTTAAAAATTCGCTGAGTTACGGAATTTAAAAGTTTAGAACGCCAAAAACCTCATTTCGAGAAAAACGGTTACCTTGAAGATAAAAAACCAACAGGTTTTAAATTTTTAAAACCATCCCCCCCCTTAATTTTGAAAATACGAAAAACTTTTTTTTTCTAAAAAGGACAGTTTTCTATTAAAGAACCATTTTTTTACAAGATTAATGTGATTAGGTACAATTTTATTGTGTCATTTGAAGAAAAAGAATAGATATTAAACTTATTTAAAAATTTTTGACAGTTTCTATTATAAAAAATTAACGTAATATCCAAATTTTCATTTCGACAATTACGAAAAAAAGACTCTAACATCAATATCTCTGGTTCTTTTGGAAAGTTATTCAGATAAGAATTGTTTACAGTCCAGGACACCTTAAAGATGAAAAATCAAGAGGTTTTAAATTTTTTCCACACCTCAATTTTTAAAATACGGATTACTTTTGCAAATGACCGCCAAAATGGGCCCTTTTCATTTTTCTAAAGAACCAATGAAATCAAACAGTTAAATAAATAAATGAATAAAAATGATAAATTAATGAAAATCGCATGATTCGACTTATCAAAACATGTAGATTGATAATACAAAATTTTTTAAAATTAAGATTTTGCTCCAAAATTACTAAATTGCGATTATCTCGAAAACTAGAACCGACAATATAGGCCCTTTTCATGTGGACGTCCAAATATATTGATAAAAATATATAGTGATGAAATATATATATATTGATTAAAATTAAGAATTAGTCTTGTATCAAACTCTTACTTGTAAAAAAAAATAAAAATAAACTGTGATTTAAAAACATTTAATATTGTTTACTATGTTTCAATACGATTTTATTGATTATTTTTAGAAAAGAGATTTTAATATTCAAAAAAAGAAAAAAGCTACGTTCCATTAGGTAGGGGGTTCGGTAATATGCTACGTTAAGCTACGTGGGGGAGGGGAGGGGTCGAAAAGTTCAAAAATCGGAGCTACGTGGTTTATGGATGGTCCCTTAAATATATTTATATTTAACAAGATTACACTGGTTTACAGTGAAATTGCCAATCGAACCAAACATTTTTTTTCGAATTGTAGGTGTTTTTTGAGTAAGAAAATCATAGTTTCAATTTTTTTCCCTTGTGCAGTTTTTGTGTAGCTTCAAATGTTGCATTTTCGAGGTGCGACGCCACTTAAACTTACCTGTAGGAAAATAAGCTTATCAGAATGTAATAAATGAGGTATCATTGAAAAGGTTATTAAATTATCTTTCGATCCATAGGTCACAGAATAAAATTCAACAAAAATTGAGAGAGTTACAGTCGATTGAAGATGAAATTTCATGACAATTTTGATGATTTTTAGACATTTGAGTAATTTCTACTATTTTTTTCTACATCAAACAGGAAAAAATGTTTAGGTTTTAATTTTTTTTATTGATAGACTATATCATTACACAAATTTTAAGCCCATGTGGACCTCGATTGGATTAAAAATGACAATTTTACACTAAAATTAGTGAACGAAACTACATTCTTCATTTTTAGTATCCCTTAAACATTTGCAGCAAAAATTGAAGTAATAAAATTTAGTTAAGCTCTAAAGTTACTAAAATCACTAATCAAGGATTTCTGAAATCGTAGATTTCGAATCCAATGTTAGTTTTCTAAATTTCAAAATGGCGGATTCAATATGGCGGACAAATTTTCAAAAATCAATTAAATTCGTTACTCGGGGGTTTTCGGGGTCGCTGATTACGAATCCGATGTCGGATTTCGAAAATTGAAAATGATGGATTCATAATGGTGAATGAGTTTTTTAAAATCCATCGAATTCGCACCTATTGGTTCCGCCATTTTTAATTTTTGAAATCTGACATCGGATTCGTAATCAGCGACCCTGAAAACCCCCGAGTAACGAATTTGAGACGAATTTCATCGATTTTTAAAAACTTGTCGGCCATATTGAATCCACTATTTTGAAATTTGCAAAACTAACATTGCATTCGAAATCTACTTCAGAAATCCTTGATTAGTGATTTTAGTAACTTTAGAGCTTAACTAAATTTTTTTACTTCAATTTCTGCTGCAAATGTTTAAGGGATACTAAAAATGAAGAATGTAGTTTCGTTCACTAATTTTAGTGTAGAATTGTCATTTTTAATCCAATCGAGGTCCACAAGAGCTTAAATGTTGTGTAATTATTAGTCTATCAATAAAAAAAATTAAAACCTAAACATTCTTTCCTGTTTGATGTAGAAAAAAATAGTAGAAATTACTCAAATGTCTAAAAATCATCAAAATTGTCATGAAATTTCATCTTCAATCGACTGTAACTCTCTCCACTTTTGTTGAATTTTATTCTGTGACCTATGGATCGAAAGATAATTTAATAACCTTTCCAATGATACCTCATTTATTACATTCTGATAAGCTAATTTTCCTACAGGTAAGTTTAAGTGGCGTCGCACCTCGAAAATGCAAAATTTGAAGCTGCAGAAAAACTGCACGAGGGAAAAAAATTGAAACTATGATTTTCTTACTCAAAAAACACCTACTATTCGAAAAAAATGGTTTGTTCGATTGTCAAAAAAAAGTTTTTAATTTGTAAACCTGTGTTATTGATGTATCGAAAAATTAAATTTTAAAATTTTGAAAAAGTTAGGTTTCTGAAAAATGTTAATTAAAATTTTTCGATAATTAGTTAATTATCGAAAATAAGAAAAAAAGTTGAAAATTTTTCTGGAAATTAGGGAAATTCAATTTAAAAAAAGAGAAACATCGAATCGCAGTCGGAACTAAAGTAACTAAAAAACAAAACGAATCCGATTTCCTCTTTAGAAACTTTCGCTTTGTCCTTTCTTCGTGTTAAACCCTGCTAACCATACACTTCCCAGGTTTACGTGCAATGTTCGCTGCTCGCTGCGAGGAATATGTGACACAAATCGACGAACTTCAACGTCAATTAACAGCAGCTGAGGACGATCGCAAAACATTAAATCAATTGTTACGTCTCGCCGTTCAACAAAAACTCGGCCTCACAATGAAATTAGAAGAATATGAGGTCGATCGAGAATTAAGAAATACCAGAAGGCACGCGACTGGTGGAAATGGACGCGGTCGAACACCACGATTACCACAACAGACGAACCGTCCTCACATGGGCAGAGACTTCTTCTAGAAAATGGTTAAGATGTGGAGCAAAATATTTTGAGACAAAAGATGATTTCTTTTCTTTCTTTTAATATTTATTTATTAATTATAAAACTCTTTGAATCGATTGTTTTACTAATCGAGTCCGTGCTCCACATTGCGGAAATATTTTTACAAAAAAGAAAATTCACGATGACGCCGTCCTCGCTTCGTTTAGAAAAATTTTAATCTCTTCTTTTTCTGTGGAGCGAGACAATATTTATTTTTTCAAAAAGAAGCGTTTTCAAAATAATTTGAAAGTCAAACGCTTATTGAAAAATTTTGCTCCATATCGTAGCAATTGAGTGATGCTCTTCTCCTCATTGCCAGTATCGGTTAATTAAAAAAAAGAAAATAAATATATACAAAGTCCAAGAATCATTACGCTTTTCGAATTGACTTCTTGTTGAATAAGAACACGTTAAAAAAATGTCATTCGACAAGGCGGAATATTTTTTTTTCGTTTGTGCTCATTTTAAACGAAACACGATTCTAGTTGTAGATAAACGACTAAATGAAAAAATGAATTTTCGATTTAACTTTTTTCTAGATTGAAAATACAACAGAGAATGATGCGCTGTATATGGTAGAGATAATAGCAAGTAGGAAAATTTTTTAGTGCTTATAATCAAATTAGTAAATACGATTTTGCAACTAAATTAGAGGTGAATAACGATAGTAAGCAAACATTAACGAGTTAACAATTTATTTTTTAAACAAAAACTCATCGTTCCCCCCACTATGATATAGTCGAATCTTTAACTTCTTTTGGAGTTGTTTTTTCCTGTAAAATAGAGAGTAGATTTTATTTTATTGTCTATACACAATTTTTAGTCCAACGGAATTCAATTAGTGATATGTACTACTTAAAGATGTTCCTTTTTGTTAATTAGAAACAAAATGTGTAGAATTTTAATATTATTCTTGATTGGACGGTAACTTAATTCATCTGTGATTTCATATTTTCTCTCGTCCCTCGACTTTTTAAAATTAAATTTTAACTAGTGACTCGCCTGCTTTCTATTTAATTAGAATTCATTCCGGACGCATTAATATTCCCGAAAATGTCAAATTTTCAGTGAAACGTATTTTAATGTCTTTCTCTCTTCTTTTTTCTTTTTTATTACTATTTCCATTTACTGTAATTTTTTCAAATAAGAGAATTTTCAATTCAACGAATTTCCATTCCTCTAATTTATATGCAACAGAATTTTATTTACTGCTATCGATCGACGAAAATAGGGCAAATTTTTTTTTATTTAGAGAGTAGAATTTTCTAATGAAATTAAAATTTTAACGAAAAATTTTCTAAAATAAAAATCCAGTTGTGTGTAGATTCAATCAAATAGAAATTATGTACTAAAAATGTCTCACTGAACTAAATTTTATTAAATTATTTAATTTAAAAAAAATGCGTTTCACTTGAAATTCGAAGGGAAAATTTATGAGAAACATTTTTTTCGTCCATGTAAAAAGTATTTGCGTATTTAAAAAAATGAATTGCCTTTATATTATTAAAATGAGCCAATTACAAAATTGGCTGTATTATTATAAATTAATTTAATGTATCAATGCGTCCAAAAAAATGTCTTTAAAATGGCAGCTTTGTTGAATTTTTACTGTTTATCGTCAATTGACAATTTATCAGCTTTAGCACAATGTTATTTTTCAATTCGTCCATTATTTTAACCTTAATTACTAAATGGCAGTCTCTGAAAATTCTCTAATTACTGTAAAAATATTTATTATTCATCAAAAATATATTATTCAGCGAAGTTAAATTAAAATAAAATCATTGACATTTATTTCAAATTCTGAATTAAAAATAATTAAAATATTTTGGTAAATTGAAATTAATTAAAAAATTTGTAAATTTTGCATTGTAAATTGAAAAAATTGGCAATTTTTAATACTTTTGAATAATTTAAATTTTGAGAGACTGTCAATTTTGTTATGAATTCACAATTTGGACTGATTTTAAAAAAATCGAAATATGTTTGATTAAGTTATTAGCTTTTAAAAAGAACTATAACAAAAATTTTATGAGTTTTGTTTAAGTTTCTCATGATTTCGATTTTCTTGTTAATTTAAAAATGAACTTGATCATATAGGATAATTATTGAATCGATATTTGTCACCGTTTTTCAATATATGAAAATGTATATTAATTTTAAAATGTTGTTACTTTCATAGATAAGACGCTGATTTTTATTTTAGAATGTGCATTGTTTTTGTTTATCATTATTGGCAATTTGACTTTGTTATTAATGATAACTATTAATATTATATTATATTCTACTGTCACATTACGTGAAATATGTATTATATACATAATTATGATAAATGTCACGGAATGTGTCAGTATACATTGTCACTGTGCGATTAATTTTTAAAATGCTGACATTGATAGAAAGAAAATTGTTTTTCCTATATTTATATAGATAAATATTTTAGATTTATATTTATACAAGAATGATTTTTAAATAAGTCATTAACTTTGTTCGCAAAAAAATGAGTATTTGGTTCTTTTTTCATTTTGAATAAAAGACGCTGCTAACGGATATATTTTATTTTTGAGTTACTCGATTTATTTTATTCAGGTTTTATTTCTCATATAGTTTTTCAATTCTATTTTTATTTTTTTTCTCTTTTTGCAATTGAAATTTCTTTTGGGAATTAATTCGTTTTATTTTCTGTTATTCATTTTATTTTCGAAATAAAAAATAGGAACGAAATTTTTTTTTGACTGCTACTGTTAAATTATATATTATAGGTTTATAACGCTTTTGTAACTTGAAAGCGAATGAAGTAAGTTTTTGTCCATAAACCGAGCCAGCCTCAGATCACCGTCCCTTCCCTTTCTTACACACCACCGTTAGGAATTATTTTTTTCCGACTTTTTTGTTTTTCCTTGCCGTCCGCGCCGCTCAATTTCCCTCGATATGACGTTCTTTATCGAAAAAATATTATTGGAAATGGTCCACACGAGGAAATAACTTTCAACACTAAGCTATTTTTAGATTGTTGATAAATTGTTAAGATTTATTAAAAAGGAAATAAATAAAAACGAAAAACTCCATCCTAGATAAGAGACTGATTTTTTTATTTTATTTTCAACGATAATAATATTATTAATTGTAAATCTTAATCGTCATCTTCAATTTTATTCGAAAAAAATCTTTTTGTTTCTAAAACAAAAATCAAATTTTATAAAAAATTGTTATTTCTACAATTATTTTGAAATCCTAGGAATTTAATTTCATCGCAAAATTTATCCAATTTTACACGAAATATTTATAAATTTTTTCCGAAACATTTTTTTCCCTAAAATATTACAGCTTTTAGGGAAATAAAATTTATATTTATATTTCTCACTAGAAGAAAAAATTACATTTAAAACGTAAAGGAGAAAAAAAATTTGTATTAAAAATTGAATAAACATTGAAAAGAGTTGTTATTCTTCGGGATTTTTAAGGTACTACCTAATACACTTTAGAATTTAAAAAAAAAATTTTTTTGTTATTGTATTCTATAACTCCTTATGGCTTCAAAAAACACCTCCTAAAGTATTCATAACCAATTGTAAAAAATAAAAGTCAATTTTTCAAAAAGTATCCAATAAATATAAAGAGCCATTGACAAATTAAGTAAATCTTCAAGGGGATGGTGGGGTCCAGCTTCTTGTTACGACCAGTAGAAACATTGGTGCTAATGTATGTAACAGTGTCTGACATAAAAAAAGTAGAGGGGTTTCAATTTGCAAAAGAATTTTAAGTGAACAAAAATTATTGAAACATCTGCTATTTTTTTATTTTAGTCGATTTTTCATTAATGGTGGTGGATTTCTATATGCAAGACACCTTCCTTTTTAAAAAGCAGTTTGGATTTTTTGTTTCCGATTTGTCAATCTTGAGATAAACTGTCCGCAATTGGACAATTAACTTTTTGGAGATTCGATCTGGATGCTGTCTGCAGATTATGATATTAAACAAAATTAAGAGCCTTCTAAAGTGTAGTAGTACCTTAAAAATACGTTATTTCTTTACTAAATTACTGTTGTTTTATTCATGAAATGAATTATAACATTTTTTAGAATATGTAATAATTTTTTTATAGTAATTTTTTGTAATAAAAATTGGTTAGTCAGTAAGAAATTAATAATCGAAATTAATTGTTTTATTAATAACCTGAAATTAAGTATACATTTTATAAATATGAAAATTTTAATTCTTAAAAGTAGGAAAAAGATTTGTTGTATAAATAAAAATCTCTTCTTACGTGCCATGAAAAACCTTAGGGGGAAAATAATATAAATTTACTCTTGCCTTATTTGAATTACACAATTGCGTCCCTTTAGGTACAAGTCCTGACGGTGGTGTGCGTGAGTTTTTTTGTAATAAAACAATAATATAGAAAAATATCATTAACTAGTATTACAATAGTAAATATATATAAATATTATATATATATATATATATATATATATATATATCTTGTAAAATTATTTATAAGCAAATTGTAACAAAATTTGAATTAATTATTAAGAATGATGAATAATTAGGGATATTAAAATGTAAAATGACGTGTGTATAATTTTTTTTCGACAATGATAAGTGAACGTGGTTGCACATTATATTTATATATACACTGAGAAAACTGGAGTATTCGACTAAACATCTGGAGGGACAAATCGTTCATATTTGAGAGTTCTCCAGTTTTCTCAGTGTAGGGTCCATGCCATGCATTATATTGTTAAATAATTATATATTGAAAATACTTTCTTATTATTAAGAGAATGTAATTAATAAATATTGTGTAATATTTAAGCAAATGAGAAAAAAAATTGTTATTTAGAGGCGCATGATTTTTCCTAAAACGTCATTTGACCGAACTGTCATTTTACCGAATTGCATTTATCCGAACTGTTATTTTTACGAAATGTCACTTTTGCGAATCGCCATTTTTACGAATTGTCATTTATGCGAACTGACATTTTTTCGAATTGTCATTTTTACGAAATGTCACTGTTAGGAATTGTCATTTTTGCGAAAATTCGCAATAGTGACATTTCGTAAAAATGACAATTCGAATAAATGTCAGTTCGCATAAATGACAATTCGCAAAAATGACAATTCGAAAAAATGAGTTTTCGCAAAAGTGACAATTCGTAAAAACGTCGATTCGCAAACCTGACATTTCGTAAAAATGACAATTCGAAAAAATGACATTTCGGAACAATAACTATTCGTAAAAATGATATTTCGCAAACATCACTATGCGCAAAACTAACAATTCGTAAAAATGGCGATTCGCAAAAGTGACATTTCGTAAAAATAACAGTTCGGATAAATGCAATTCGGTAAAATGACAGTTCGGTCAAATGACATTTGGGGAATAATCATGTGCCTCTGTTATTTATACAAGATTATCTTAAATGTTCAAAAGGACATTTTTCACGCTAAATTCTAAATCTTTGCTTGTACTTTTTTCGAAAAAAACCACATAATTATTTTATAATTAAATTAGAGAAAAAAAGATTTTCAAAATCCATTCGACAATAATGTCGAATTTTCACACTTTGGACAATCTGATCCTTCTGAATTTTGGAGAGCCTATTAGCGCCACCTTTTAGGCAAATACGGTAATACGTTGCCAATGACATACCTATAAATCAGTCAAACTTTCATGACAACACGCGGCATTAAAAAAATTCTATTGGAAAAATAAAAATTTCATACTTTATTGATCTAAGGAAAGCTTAACTTTGGGCTTAGATAACTTTTGTTGTATAGTAGCTGAAATTCCATGTTTCTTGTACTCACGGCTTCAGTATATCTTCAATTAAGTATTCTGATTGGTATTATGGAATAACAGAGCTCGTAGGTCAAGTTACGAACAAATTACAAAATAGAGGCATTTGGGGCAAGATGATCCCTCAATGGGTGTACAGTAGGTTGCAAAAATGCCTTCCTAGTATAAACCTGTCGCACTCATATGTTCCCATGGAAACATATGAGTGCGACACGTTCAAACTAAGAATAGGCATAATTGAAACCTGCTTTACAAGATGATCCC